TGACAAAAACCTACGGCTTGCTGTATCCGAGACCACTACCAAGGAAACTCCTACCCTGTTAAGCAGAATTACTGGATTGAAGTCATTAATGTAATGGTACTTACCGGAAATGGTAACGTTATGCATCGGACCTGCCTTGAACCACTAACGAAACACCACAAAGGAACGATATTCGCAGCGTTTAATGATCTCTTATTCAACTGCACAAGGTCATTGCCTATTAATGAGATAAAATAAACTGAACAGATCTGGCAGAGTGCATTCCGAGATTGCATGACAAAGAACAAAATTTCGCCGGAAAAATTGGCGTTTACTCGTTACTTTTCAAATAGGTGACTCCAACCCGTCGTCGGATATACTGAACAGAATATAAAGTGAAATGGTCAGATTAGACCAATTGGCGCGACAGAACGGATATGGACAGACAAACAACCAATCTATGAGGCAGAAGGCCGGTGGAAATGGTAGAACGGAGGATGACAAACGCTGCGGCTCCCTGTGCAGGAAGGAGAGGAAAGGAAGATTCTGTGCGAGTGCAGACACGACAGCCGTCGATGCTGGCTAGAACCAAAACAACTGGATCATAAAGATTGCCTCAGACGTCGAGGACAGGCATAAAACCTCCTTCCTAATGGAGATATAGTGCCACGGAAATTGTATCCTTTATCTTACACGAGAGGAATTTCCGAAACAACCTCTCGACTATCAAGCCGTTTCGGCATCTCCATCGCCCACCGGCCTGCTTCTTCGCTACGGTGAAACCTGATAGGTAAATAACGCATGGGAGGTTGGTCTCAGATACGGCTGCGCATGGTGCGGAGGAAGAGGAGGTCTCTGAATACAGTCAGAGATTGAAATAGATATTGTTATGATGAATAGATAAAAATAGAGAATTCCATTCTGAATTTTAGGTTCATGGGACAAAACGCAAGTTACGTAGGCCATTAGTATGCTATAAAAATGTTTTCGCACAATTGTTTTTCAAAAACACTGCGACTTTTTCTGCTGATGGGTTCGAGGGAAAATCTTTAACTTCAGTCTGATAAACGTCTTGTTCCAGCGACCATCCCTGCTTCTGCTTCTTCTTCCACCTACCCTTCCTCCATCTCCACTTCTTCTTATTCATCTTTTTCGTTTTCTTCTCCTTTAATCATGACATTGCATGAGTTATGCCTCCTACTGTATACTTATTATCAGCCTGATGCAACTCGACCCACACTCAATGCGTAATTCTACCTTTTTTGTTCTAGGTAGCTGCAATTTATTTCGGTAAATGTTTACTACTAACCGTTTTCGGCATGGTCACCGGCCAAGATGACATTCGTCGCCTTACTTACTCAGACATAATAGACAAATGTGGCGAACCTATGTTTTCGATTTTTTATCATCCCTCGACCTTTGAAAGGACTAGAATCTGACCCCTTGATCTCTGAATACCCTCAACAGGATGTTTACACTTTCGTTGCTCTAACTTCCCGTATATTTGTACTTTCGACAAATTCTCGTCAGGCCTTACGTTTATATGGAAACTGGGCGCAAGTTCAAACGTGTTCGTCTTTTTGGACAAGTGAATCAAACCCTACCCTCACAACTAGCCTTCGCTTATCGACCCCACCCCCATTCCCACGACACACTTGTCCGAAAAGACGAATAAGTTTGAACTTGCACCCAGTTTCCATATAAATATAATGCCTGACGAGAATTTGTCGAAAGTACACGTATACTCGCCATACTATACTTCTGAATTCCCGTATATTATTTTAAATACCTGGTGCTGAATAATCGAAGCATATGTTCGCTAAAATTGTCTTCTTGAATGCTTACATGGGTATGCTCGCTAAAATTAAATAGCAGGCAAACTCAAAAGCTTGCGTGTACATTTCCTTCTTTCCGGTGATGGCGTCTTTTTATTTGTGGGGTGTTTTGTAGATTTTAATAATCTACTTAACCAGTTGTGAAAACCTCGTGGCCTTAGTGACATTCGAACCTACGCCAGGAAGAGGAGGCCTGTAGTATAGCCAGCTAAGGGTTCCCGGTAGGGGCCTCGTAGCTCAGTTGGCTAGAGCGTTGGTTAAACGGAAGACTTTCCCATGCCGGCGTGGGTCGGAATCCCACTGAGGCCAGTGAGTTTTTAAAAGTTCGGTTAAATGCATCTTTGAAGTGTCCGTAAATGCTGCTTAGTTTAGTGTCACGTGTTGATCGACAGTAGAGATAACCTCCGGATAGGCCAAATCAGCATGCTGAAGCCAAATTTTAAAACCTGTTCCAAAGTAGTAGATTACGTTTTTTCGCAGGCGGTCACTTGGGTTGTATTTGCAGCGTGATCTGAAAAGTGTTGGGCCTATGTTCGTAGTACCCTTTATATTCCTTCCTTAAGGAAGCCATGGGAAAGTATTTGCTAGGCCATAAATGTACCATCAAAAACGCTGTCGATGAAACTAAGATTTGATTGGTTAGAAGTTACCGCGCCCTCCGCTGCGTGGGATACTCGTGACGAACGCTTGTTTTGTCCAGTGTGGGTGGTTCCGAGGAGCGAGGCAGCTCCGGGCGAAAAGAGAAACAAACCCTATTACATTCTTTCCAGATGGGATGATTGAATGCCTGCTGACATAGAAGAAAACCACGTCCCATATATAACATGCCGTTGTCCTGATATACGACTGAACTGAAGGCCGTTAAATGAACCTGTAGCTAACTGCCACACAGGAATTAACCAAATAAAGTGTTCCATGCTCGACATATTTAGCACGCGCTCTAAGTCACCCCTTCCCACCTCACATACAGTTCGTTACCTAACAGATGCAAACTTCTGAACGTAGGACGACCCGCATCCACTAACTTTATACTACCTTAGGTTTACTTATTGGTTACGCACTAAGTTCATCCAAACCAAGAACATACAGAAGCGACTTTCTGACAAGTCGATTATCTAAGGCCCAATGTAAATGACAGCAGAGAAGAAAAATATGACGCAGGAACAAAATAAGGGAAACAATACAAATTCAACGTACCAGTATGTTACTGATTTTTACATTACTTTAACAATTTTTGAAAGTCCGGAGGAGATAGAGACTGATGAAAAGAAAATTTCAGTGCCGAGACAAAATTTTTATTTGCCTAAAGTTTCGAAATCTGCCGCGGATCCTTCGTCAGAGACAGAAGCAGAAACACTAGTAGAAACGAGCAAGTAATGCACAAGGAGTTCCAGTAATTATAGGATACAGTCAGTATGATTCTGAACACTGACGACAATTAACGACTCCTCTATTGAGGATAATTGCACGTGTATGCGATGACTGGTTGATGGTCGGCGTGCGGACCGTAACCTGCTTAACTTCCATCATACGCGGTAGAATTGGACGTGATGATTGCTCGCCCATATGGTTCTCCAGCGTTAGCGTTAAATAACGCGTTGGTCTGTTCCTTCCCCAAGTGGCGACTCGCGTTCGCCAAATTGAGTCTCAGTACCGAGCATGGGTTGGGCAGGTCGTTGCATTTGTATATGGACTGGGGGTCCGTGAATTATGACTCAAGCAATTCGCGACTCACAAAATTGTCACCGCTCGCGCGGATTTCAGCCTCATAAAATTTCAATGTGTGGCGGAGTCTCGTCGTATAAGCCGTAAGTTGACAATTGTCATCATTTCTCCGCACTGCTGCCGCTTGTTCGACAATTCGTGTTTTAAGAAGTCTTCCACATTCTCCAATGTAGTTGTTTTGTCCGCCACTGCACCAGCTCCTATAGACGACTCCAGATGGTTTTTTTCGGGACAGTGGCTCTTTTGGTTTCATTATCGGACGCCTTGTGGTTGCCTCTGGGCTGTGTGCGACCCCAAATCCAAGTTTAGCGAGAAGGCGACCAACGCCGAGACTCACAATATTCTAACACGGAAAAGAAAGCTTAGTGTGATCCTACAAGATTGCTACGCGAGGCTGCGCAAATACCGGAGGATAATTGACCAAGAGAAAAAGAGATATTGTGAATTCATGGCTGAAGACAGCACAAAACTGCTTCAACAGAGAGTGACTGAACGAGCCCGTGAATAGAAAGTGATTCGCGAAGCAGTACTGGCGAACAGATTTAGCAAACTGTGTAATCCACCGTCATCCAGAAACGAAATACTGTTACACAACCTGTCGTCGAAGGCTCTGTCGAAGGAGCATATACAGGTTCTAGGGCATGAAGCCTCATTCACTACGGCTGATGCTAAACCTCCTAGCATGATTGCAGCTCTAGAATCGGTCACTAATCAGACGGAAGCGACCGATGAGACGGAAAACCTTATCCGACACCAGCTATCATACCTCCTTGCGGCTCATCAACCGCGTAAAGTGCTCCCCATGGTCGAACGCGCTGCACTTAGAGCCCTCAAGGCCGACCGGGACATCATCATCGTGCCAGCCAACAAGGGACGTTCCACAATCGTATTGGACGGAAAAGACCCTTCGTATCACTGAAAGGCACTCTAACGTACGGACTGGCAAAGTAGCTGTTTTGGCATCTTAAATTCCTGACCGCTGATTGGGACACCACGGTACTTCCATCAACACAATTCTTGGAGTACCTCAAAGAGGCAAGTCTCCTGTGAAGTGATGTCATGGTTTCCTTTGATATCACGCCCCTGTTTACTTCTCTTCACTAGGCACTGACA